AGCTAGGAAGCTGAAAATTTAGGGGAACGTTCCCTACCCACGTGTGACCCCGCAAATTTAAATTCACCTCCCGTACCCGCGGGTAACACGTACGGCCCCGTGAAAGTTTTTTACGGGTAAATTAATACCTCGGAAACCACGGAGTCTAGCAGAGTGAAATTTTACGGTATTGACCACCTGCCCACGCTCGGCCCTGCCTATTCAAATTCACCGTTCCCGCGCTTTTGAGTATCACCTACGGCTTCGTGAAAATTTTGGCGGGTAAACTATTAACTCGGGAGTCACGGAAAGATATTCACCCTTCAAGGCTTCGAATTCAGCTTTCATGCGCTGGTGCGTGAAGTTTTTAACTGTTTTCCAATGTTTGAACTATTTTTGCATAGACTAAAGCAAAAAGCTGTGAAAATTATTAATAGGCAATCGTTCGATGGGCTGAATTGCACAAAACGCATGATCGCACCGGCTAGTCTAGTGCGCGCTGCTATTTATTCTTTTTAGATAGCTCAATCAGGAGCCGTCCCGTCTTCACAACTGCATTTGTTTGATTAACTCAAAGAAAGGAATGAACAAGTTGCAGCATTTGAACTTCCACAACAGCCTTCTAAAGGTCGCAAATTATTATTCCACACTTTTCTGAACTGATATGGATACAGACTTAGTGTAAGCCACCGCATACAAATTTTCCCGGAGACTTCATGAAGATCACAGCCCTTACCAAAGCCGTAATCCTCATGAAGAGCGGTAAAAATTACTTCAGCTGCAAGGATTATTTTTAAGTTTTGTTGATAAGCAGAGACAGTTCAACTCTCTAAAGGCAACTCAATCCTTTCAGACTCCTTTATCGAGTCTTGCGCCCCCTCCCCCTTCCTTTCCCTTCCTCATTCTTGCCCCCAGCAGTCCGTGAACATACCTTTTTTTGAAAGGAACATCTGTGTTGACTTGATATTATGTGTAAGACGAAATATTTCAAACATTTCAAACGAAATATTTCATTTTTCAAACGAAATATTTCATTTTTTTGCAGACGATACTGTACCCATCTCTGAAGATTAACAAGCGCTGCAGAATCTATCAAATGCTCTTGTAATTAGCAAGAAGGAAATCAGACTCAAAATCGAAAGAGGAAAACAAGTGAATGAAGAAAGAGCACTTTCTCCTGTTCGTCATGAGATTCCGGACTCCCCTTGTTGAAACTGTGGTCACCTACAACTGCCTAATTGAAACGGTAAGTCATATAGTTATTCATAATGTTAGAAATAGTAGAATAGAGGGGCTGGACTTAAGTGTCATGTGTATGAAGGCATCTTATGATGCAGTCTGTGTTTCATCGCTTAGCTGTAAACACTGACCGAACTTTGTATGCAGGTGGGAGCGGGAATCGTCAGTACATCCTCATACCCGCCATGTACTGAACAGTTATGTAACTAGTTTGCAAGACGGATATGCGAAAGGAAGAGAAAACAGAGAGAGAGCAAAGACAGCAAAAGAAGAGAGTGAAAATTAACTCATAACATACGGACATTTATTATCTGTCAATTATGAGAAAATTCTTTTTTTATGAGAACAGTGTGCTGGCTAA